TAGTACGTTTTACAAGCTATGTGGGCTGGTGACTCGGCTATGCCGAGTTCGATTCCGAAAAAGGAGGACAACATCTGTTTTAACCGCGAATTCGTTTGAACAAGGAATTTATTCCACATTGCTTTGGTATAACCAGCCAATAAACGGGCAGCAAGCAAAACGCCGACTTGCTAACAACATAAACAGCATCACACTCATCTGTGGTCATACCGGAATTGGTGAGAGGTGCTGTTTGACACAAGCGCCTCGTATGGCTGCGATTCGCCACGAACCATTTGATTGCTGTTTATACGATGTGGCTATTCAGCTATATGTTCAACCTCTTTTTGTTATTATTTCAGAGTTCACCTGAAATTCGCCAGCGACTTCGGTTCCGTGCCAGACAGCTTCGATAACCTTGCTTACATTGAAACCGAAAAGAACGAAATTGGCTTTGCGAGAATCAGCGGTAAAGCGGCATCGTCGACTATTACTATAACGTGGAAGGATATCGATGTGAAGGTCGATCAGCATAAACAGACTTTTCTGCCAAGGTGGGGACATGGCAGACGTAAGTCAGAGAAAAGGCATATTTTGAAAAACGGTAAGTTGAAAGAAATTTGCTTTTGTTATTATTATAAACATGAGACAGAGTAAAACATTAAAACTATAATTTTTATTATTTAAATAACGATTAACGATGCTAGCTTCCCTTCATTTCCTGCGGTCATCCATCAAACGAAGTTTGTGTATTTTTTCATCTAATCCAGAGGTCATTGCACTTATTCAGTGAATAAAGGGCATGAAGAAAACATCTTATAATTTTGTGGAAGGTTAATATTAATCCTGGAATCCAAGTCGCGTTTTCGTTTGCTGGACAGCGGTCATACATGTAAACTTTTATTAAGGTCAGAGGTGCTCTGACGGCTCCATGTTTCATAGTTTATTATTGATCTTTATAGCTATCGCAATGGATGGGAAGAATACACTGCCGTATTTTACCATTGCGTTCAGCTTCTTAGTTGGGTGAGTTTTTCCAAGAATTCCTTGACGAGGATATTGAGGTAGCATTTGTAAGCAGCGGTACTTTAAAACGCCAAGCTTATTTCACAGAAGAAAACAGGTTTCTGTTATACCTCCCAGCCTTCATAAGTTCGTCATACTGATTTGCCTCACAGAGTCTTAACATATGCGTATAATACGCCAGCGTGCACTCTGCTCGCTATGGGTTTCACTTGAATATAGGCGAGTCATGATTCATCATGTTTCCTTAAGTATCAGCGCTGACGATAGCTTTTGCTTTCTCTCTATACGTCTGGTAAGATGATCATTTTGGGATTCACGAATATCTTGGTGGTTACGAGAAGGGGGACATTATGCAGATCTTTCTAACCTGCAAAGGAAACCTTCGTTCTACCGTTGTCCGCTACTGCCAGTAACCAAGTAGCAAGCGAGATTATTACAAGAGCAGCTAGGTTTAATTTTGTCTCTGATTTTTTATTTTATTTGAGCGAAATTTCGATAATAGTATTTTATTCTCAAGGCATATTCTAAAATTTCTATTATGACATTTTTATAGTCTCCGGTGTCGCTCAACCTGGAAGGCTATTAGCTATCATGGGATCGAGGTCAGTATAAGATTTTGCTTTGATTTGCAGGTTGCATGTTTAAGGGTCTTCTAGTGACATGATAAGCTATCCGTTTCAGTTATCGTTTTCTGTACAGAAAGTGAATGACATGAGACAAGCTGTGAAGTAGATTAAAACTTGCAGTTCTCAACCGTGCAATTCTCAAATCTCCCGTCACCAAGGTTGCAATTTATGTAGATAATTCCTCTACGACCTTCCAGTTAATCAATATTTTTCAGCGACTCGCTGTTAGAGTACCTGACTTTATATTGCCGAATCACATAATCATTTTGTTTGCATGTATGTAGGAGTGGGCAGACTATAACAAAGGCATAACTCCAAGATACAATCGAATCTGCAGTGTATGGATGCAAAACAGCATTTCCTTTTGGATAGAACAAGAAACCTGGCTGAAGCACCAACAAAAATATTTAACATTATTTGGGATTACCAACAAGAGCTGGTAATCTCAAATATGGGTTATGGTTCGATGTATTCCAACACATTTTGGTTAGTAAATCTTTTAGTTGATGTAATTGTGAGCATGTATCAAAAGTTATTTTATATTAGCTGCCATCGTAATTTCACATTAACTTGATCGCTTCAAGAAAGTTGACAGTGATGCGGCTAATAAGCAGGAAATATAACCAGGCAAGCACCACAGTTTTTTGTGGGAGCGGGAGGGGGGGTGCTATCCGCTATGACAAGATATAGAACTGCCTTTTCACAACTGCTCATATATTCTTACTTATGCACATAGACTTCTGCTGCTGAACATTTGCTAAGCGATAAATAAAAATGACGTAATTATTTGTAGTTCACTTTATTTGGGTACGCTGAGAACCAATACCTCTACGTTTAAAGCTGAAAGTTTGCAGCTTATTTCGAGAAACAAGAAGCCTTCTGATTCAGTGATTGTAAAACGTTCGTAAAGTAATAAGAGCGTAATTAGAAAGCGGACATTTAGAACAACTTTGTTCAACATGACAGCAAAGATTGCGTAGATGCAGAAAAGTCAAGTTGTATGAGATGCTGTCCGGTTTAATGTAGTGAAGCCCAAGCATTCGATTAAACGTTAAAAACAATGTAGCGATTAGATTTGGAGGAGCTCTGTTCTCAGATTCCTGCGCGTGATGAAACACCACTCCGTGATGCACAGGAGAAACCGCCGGAAAGATGGCTCAGTGAGGAAAACTCGGATCAGGCCAAACCTTATAGATCCGACAGCTGGAATCCAATTCGGCTGGAATGAAGGGCAAAAGACGTTTTGTCCAAGTCCTCGGGCGACCGTCATCAAATCCATTTACCAAGACCGAAAGAAGAGCAAAGCATAAACAAAAATGGCTCCTAGTTCCCTGAGTACAGCTCGAGTAGGACTAACTACGGGCGAAATAGATTGCACG